TACCCTTCGTCATTAAATATGTTTTAAAGTTATTTTTCTAAAATTTATTAAAAAAACACATCAAATGCAGGATAGAGTCCTCATTAATATATGCAAAACTTTAAGCTGGGCGTAAAAGTTCAATGTGATGACTGACTGCAGCAGTTTTCGATTAGTTGAGCAAACCCCAGTTCAGTTATATACTGTCATTAGCTGTGACGTTTGCTTAAATTCTGGTATTACATAATTGATTTTTTTAATAACAGTTATTGTTATTAATAACAGTTTTTCAAAAAGCAAATTTCTTTTAGAAATTACAAATTTTTAACTGAAAAATGGAACCAAGAACTTAATTTAGTTGAAATCAGTGGGTACCTTTACATGGGTGCGTTTTTTTTTGCTTGAAAAGTTTGTCGATATTAGTTGGAAAATATAACTGAAACCTAAAAACAACTTGAAATCTGGATAATCCTTTATTCTTTACGGATTTTCAAAAATTGGATTAATATGTCCTATATGTTGTACAAACGATTCCATATACAATCAAAATGTTGTGAAGTTGTTGTGAGTAACCTAATAAAATGATACTTTGTGTATTGGCTATGTAAGGCCTTGGGACCTAACATCCTCTTGTATGTTTGATCTTCTAGACTAGCTATCAACTTCGCTTGAAATTGTCCTCCCCCAGCTTGGTTGTTGCACGGTTTCATTGACGCCCAACGAAAGCCACCATTTTTAAATTTGATTGAGGGCCACTCTTTGGGTAAATGTGTGTTACGGGATTTTTGGATATTCCTACCACTCAATATTTAGATTGGAATTGAAAGTAATTTTTTTAAGCAATTTTAATTTAATTTTTTAAATACAGAACATAGTAAACATTACAGAACTGTTAGTGAGTGATCAGCAAAAGCATAGTCATATGCTAAGCATTTTGTTATCCCAGAAAAGTACTTAAATAGGCTTAGTAGTGTACAACTGGCATACTCGATCCGAAAGCCTACAGCTCGTATTTGTTTTATGTCGAATTGGCTAATATAAAGATAGGGGGGCGGACAAAAAACTATTTCAGTTTTATAGGGTGCGAAATGGTACAGAATAGTGCGTCATCGGTATTAGATGAACAATATCTGAAATTTGGCGTGAGAAAAAATAATTACGAATTGTACGGATACTCTGAAGAGTTTCTACTCAAAATTCTTGAGAAATACAAAATGTACTGCATTTTTGTGAAATGCAATGAAGAAAATTTGACCTATTCGAAGAGATACATTTTGAAAAGACGCTTAATTTGGGTTGGTGTGCATTGATATAAGCAGGGCGTGTAACAACAGGTATTAAAGTTGGTAATATTCATGTCGGGTTACGGGCAGATATAAAAATTTAGCATGAAAAGTTCAAATTGGTACCATTTCTTGTCATTGGTATGAGTTAATTTTTTTTTTCCGAATTCCATGAATCATAAGTGCAGTACACAATTTTTGGATAAACCAGCCAAACTCTTTAAAATGTAATTTTTTAAATGTTGTACACAATGTAACCTCTCTTTAAATGTACATGTTTTTTTTTTTTTTTTTGAAAACCGATTCCATAACTCACATTGACCAACACTAGAGACACGCCGCCAACTAATGTCGTTGATTAGTCGACTGCAGCTTTCGGATCTGGTGTAAAACATTCCATGTGCAGTTTAAAGTTTCAATTTGTACAGCTTTAACCACAAACAAGTCCGACAACTCTATTGACTTCAATTAAAAGTTCGAAAGGAATATTTTGTAAATTTCACTCAAACCATCAACGTCAACAACATGTCGACTGGTTTGGCATTTTGTTGACGTAGCGATAGCGTTTCTTTGTGCCTTTTGGCTGAGTTTGTTTTAATTTTGAACAAATATACCCGGGGCATCATCAAAGCGAACTGGCGTCGAGGAAACAAATTAAATCGATAGACCAGTGGAGAATAGAAACAGTCGAGCAGCAGGGGCAGTAGATGTAATTCGGTCATGGTTCCTTTGAACAACTCAAATTTATCCGTCGATGTTTACTGTCGGAATATACCAAAAAATGTACGACTGGAATAGAAGAAATGCTTGGGAGTTTTATTTTAACTGGAATTTAAAATTGTAGTTTTAATTAAACGCCAAACTTTGGAGGCATTGAAAAGATTTCCATGGTTTCTCATTGAAGTTTAATGACAGATCAAATAATAACATTTTGCAATCATTCGATATTTATATTAGATGTGTGTGTGTGTGTGTGTGTGTATTTCGCCAAATGTAGTATCTTTAAAATAAGCTTAATTTAAAATAAAACTTAAATTTGCCAGTTTTTTTAAGACTTTAAAGCCTTTAACTCAATCATTGAGAGACAAATTTAAGAATGTTATTTAATCTAAAAAAAAATGTTTGCCATCTGGGCCAAACGTTTCGATAAGGACTAAATCCCACCAAAACTAAATCCCACCAAACACATTTTTATACCCTATACCAGTCTGCGATCTGGGTGTTATATATTTGTGCATTTGTTTGTAGCACGAAGAAGGACGTGAGAGAAAGACATATAGCTCACCTATATATTTTTATCCGATTTCAATTTTATTGTGCACCAAGTGGTTAATACGAGCCCGATTTTGGCACATTCGACCTTATTCGATATAGCTATAGTTGCCATATATATGTTTCATTCGATTTTGTATTTAAGTCCCTTACACCCGTAATATGTACTGCACAACAACGACATTTGGTGCCGATAGCTGGCCGCATAAATTTTAATTATAGAGTAAGGTTCAGACTTGGATATAGTTCCAATATATATTTTCATGCAAAAATGTAATATCAGCTCAAATAGGATGGATTTTTATGAAAATCGGATCGGACACAAATGTCTGCGTCAAATTTAGTTAAAATCAACTCAGAATTGGATATATCTACCATACATAAGTTTCTTTTGGTTTCAAAATATAACTGCTCTAAAGCCATTATACTTCACTTAAATTTCCTATATTAACGTTTATTTATTTCAAGTAGCTCTAGTAACTATGCACAGTGGTGTAGGATATGATAAAATCGGCCCCACATGACTTTTAACCTTTCTTTACTATTTTCATATCAGATATTCCTTAATTTTCAACTATCAGCGATTATAATATTCAGATGGAGGTTGTGCTGTAATTGTTTGTTTATCGAAAATGGAGATTTCAAAGATTGGATAATTGTTCATTGAATCCTGATGAGACACATACTAATTTCAGAATTCACAATAAAATTCGACGTAGAAACATATTGATTTTCCATAATCAAATATGACAATTGCTCCTAACTTTGTCCTATTCTCTTGCTATTGGGGCATACAAATTACAGACTTTCGCATGAGAACGTCGGTGACAAAATATTTTTTCTGGCGCCGACCCCATGCAGTTATGATTCTCATTAAACAAGTGACAATTTTATTTATAGATATATAAATTCTGATTAATTTTATTTAAATGAAGTTTTCTCGGTAATCATTGGCGTAACGTTATACCAAATTTACATGGAATACCCTTTGAAATGTAATATTTGAAAATTTGTTTTGAATTTAAATTGGTTTTCCAATTGAATTTGTGACAATATCGAATGCAATGTAATATTGACTTAATATCACGCACACATGCACGCACTCATGTTTTGAATTTCCAAATATATATCATTATCAGATAATGACATTCAACACAAAGCCGGATTGTTTGCTCATAAATTAAAAATGAAGCGTTTGTAATTATGTATTTGCCCAGAATTATAAATATGAAATTATGCAATTAATTATCGAGCATATCCTCCTGCAAAGGACCTGACCAGACAACAACTTAAAGTCCAAATTTGTTAATAATATCAAAATGATTTGAGTGTGTTTATTAAGTTTTTCGAGAGGAACTTTATAACATCCAATTATCTTTTGATAAGAAAATTAAAATAAATATTGACTTTATTTGTGGCATTTGATGCGCAGTGAATTTTAATCCAAAGGATTTTGTTATAAATGAAATAATTCATTTGGGCGACTACGAACTACAGGATGACAATGTATGTGAGTGTGTGTGTGAGTGGGGTGGGCGTGGGTGTGGTGGTGCATGGTTTGATAATTCTACAGAGAAAGACGACAGTGCTTTAATGACTAAACATCAAATAAATCTAATTGACAGTAAATATTGGGGTGTCTCTCACAGCCTTTCAAACACACCTATAATATTGTGATCATTTTTTCCAAAGTATTTTAAAAAAGGTTTTTCTGATTAATTTTCCACCTTTTTAAGTGTTAATAAAGACAATTTCTTCGAGCTCGAGAACAATTCTGACCTTTATCAAAGTATATTAATTTTTTATTTAATGTCCCTATATCGAATCATCGACGGCAATGTTTTATTGTTGTGGAATATTTCTAACATTTTTACTTAATGAAATAAATGTAGGATATGGAAATAAATATATTTTTCAAAACTATCTCTATCTCTTTTTTTGGTGACGTTTCACAAAGCAAGCTAGAAATATAAACCGAATTCACAAAATCATTAATGAAACAATGGACTATTATCCTTTTAATAGACTTAATCATTAACTCCAACTATTTTATTATGTCTCTCGCTCTCTCTCTATCTCTCGCTATCCTTCTGTCTCTAGGATATCACTAAGAATGTGAATATTGTTTAATTTCTAGACCACCTCTCCAACAACAACAACAACAACTGCAGCATCACAATGTTAGATGATAATTTGTCCTAAAGATTTCATTGAATGCCAAACCAATTCATATTCATAACTTCCTATGTTTACTTGGTGAGGTTTATATACGTACTCTACTACTTATGCGTGTGTATGTGTTGTTGGTATAGAGATCCTAATAGGTTGACAGATACAGATACAAATGCCGGATAACATACATCTACAAAGAGTGTAGGGGAACGTACGTACAGACGACAATCAGACTGACAGACAGACATACACACGGGGATGGATATCTACCGAAGATATGAAATGATAACTTACCCGTATAATCTTCTGGTCATGCATAATTTTGCGCACACAATTTACGAGGAATGTTATGACCATTCCGCCCAGGATCAGACCAAACACAGTGATGATAATAGTCATATGCTCCGATTGTCCCTTGGATTCAGGCTGCAGGCGGGCAGAGAGAGAGGAAGGAGAAAGAAATAAAATGAAATCGTTTAGAAAAAGGATGTAACACGTAGTAGAAATACAATTGAAATAAATTGTTGTCACTGGAAAACGAAAACGTAAACGAATGCGAATCCAAAAAGGAATTGGAATTGTATTTCGAAACATGACAGAGAGGAGACGAGAGAAGTGGAGACCATGCAGAGGAACGGCAATACATTTATAAATGTGGGTGACCGCATTTTATCACATTCTCACCCTATTCATTTGCGGCAAAGCAATTTCACATTGCTGACTTTTGTTTGTTTGTCTTTCTTGGGATACGTGTTTTCCTTTGGCAGCATTCCATGCGGACGTGCCGGTATCCTTGTCTGCTGTTGGAACAACTTGACGGCCTGTCAGCTTGTGATGGAACCGTTGGCATGAACTCGCCAAAAATGATACAGTCTCATTTAGACGATTCCGCTAAGCCGTTGTCAGGCTTATGTAATTCACACGAAGTTGGAAGGAAATGTGGCGTTGGCACATTATTTCACGTTTAACATGAAAGACACAAACACACACACAAATGTATATGTATATACATACCTATATCATGTGAGTGGCAATGAGAAAGTAAGTATGACAAATGAGAAAAATAATTACACTTGCCATTGGAATACATTTGAAGGTGTTTGTATGTATGTATGTATGTTTGCATGCGTAGAAAAATATACACGCCTGTTTATATCGTAACCATTTATTCGTATTTAATTTACATAACAGCATGTAAAAATGACGTGAAACTCATGCGGGTGGAACCTTTTATGCCGTCTGCCATGGGAAAACTTCCAGCCAATTGCAAAATGATTTACGAGCTTCAAAACATAAAAAAAACAAAAATTTGAAGTCATTGTTCCATGGACAAATAGGTGCTAAGGCTGAATATTTTTCAAAACTAACATTAGGAAAAGTAGAATGCGGTGCAGTTATGGTGTTCTTAAGCCTGGAACTATATTATACAATTTTGTGACTTTCAATGAATAAGGGTTATAACAAAGTCTAGACCTTGGAAACCAATAAAATGCACACTACACCTGGGTAGGGCTAGTGGCAAAACGTTAATCCACGTTATTTTCATTTGAATGAGATCAGTATTCATTTGCATTTAGAACCCCATTTTAGGTTCATCAATATATTGTCGCAATATTAATCAACGAAAGACGTCCTTTAGGTTTGGAATATTTTTGAATTATATATTCCACATTAGTGTTTATTCATCTCTCTTCAAATTATCACGGAGTACCGTTATTCATTTGAAAATAAATATTCAAAATTTTCCCGGAAATTTCTCGAAATGGCTTCAATATGTAGTCCTCATATGCTAAAATTATAAATATAGCATTTATGTTACGATGAAAATATTTTCTCACAAATATTTTTGGTTTAGTCCCAACCAAGGATACCTCCCAAGGTGATATAATCCAAGGGTCTTTGGAATTCTACCAAGTAGTAAGCAAGCGCGTATACAATTTTAAATATTATCTAATTTTTTTTTTCAAATTTGGCATGTCCATTTCATATTTTCCCCTAACATACCCATTCAAACAATATGGGATTTTTATCACTAAAAAATGATTTGAATATTAATAGCGATATTTATGTATGATTCCACTTCGTAGACAAACATATTTTTTTGGTTTTAAAACTCAGGCGTAGGCGATGAAGTTGTTAGGAAAAGATTAGATTGCAAAGCCACCTGGCATTTTCGATAGTTAAAACGAAACTCAACTTGAACTTTTTCGGAGAATAAGTCCAAATTGTTCTCCAGCCCCATTTTCCTGTGAAATTTATTTTATTTTCAAAACTTTATTCTGTAAAAACAAACAGTCTAATTGGACTTATTTTGTAAATGGAAGTTGTGGTATGAATTTTAGCGGCAATATAAATAAACAAATTCTATGAGCTGAACGATTATTGTTCCGAAGAGGCCATAAATATTTTACCTTGAAATTTTCAATTTTTTATCCGCATATCCTAGAATCGGTATTGCCGTAAAACAGATGTTGCCAATAATTACCTAACAACAGCGAAAATGTTGTTGCTTTTAGCGGCTGTAGCAGGTGAAACACCAATAACACCAGCTACGCAATTAAAATCATTACTACATTTTGGCCTCTTTGAGGAGATGCAGACTTTGTGTTTCCAGGCTAAATGAATTAGGTAGTAGCAACGAATTTTTAGTCAATGAAACGGAAAATTTATTGGGCTTCTATTTGGCCTTTGTAAGTATCCTTTCGTGGCTATACGTTTTGCCAACATAAATATGTAAATGTATCTGCATAACTATAATCGAAATGAAATTATACACAGTTTTGGTTATAACCCAACTATCGCCAAAACAAACTGAGAAGTTGACTGAAAATATGTTTGAGAATTTTTCGCATACCCCGGATGCAAAGTTTCGAATATTGGTGATAAATAAAGTAATAAATTAAATTAAAGGCAGTTTTGAGTTACAATTTTGAACATAATAGCCCTCATTTGATTTCTTTTTTGCTAATAATTAAATATAAGTATTTCTAACAGCTTATAATTCCCTAATGAAAATTTTGAAATCTTTGGCTAGTACATTCCAGTTTTTTGAATTCCTCGGAAAATGACCACAAGAGAAGCGTAAATCTAAATTTATTTCTTTTAAGAAATGAAAAATTATGATGTTATATGTTTTTTTTCTCTTCCGAAATAAGCCCTTCTTTTCATTGTAAATCTCTGATAAGTAGGCTTATTATAAAATTCAATTATTTTGAACTATTAAAATTTCATTCAATATTGGCTACTTTCAGTGATTAAAAGCCCTCAATCAGTTTCGAAATCAATTCCAAATCGTGTGTGGTTAAATCTTTCGTCTGTTGTCAGGATGATTAATCTCCGTGGAATTTAATTGCTTGAACTAATACAGACACACGCTGACACATACATACCTCACAGCCTTCTTCATCCCAGCGGAATTTGCAATTGTCACGCTGATTGCACTTCAAGTCGGCAGCAATGCAGGTGGCGTCTTCGCAATCGTATTCATTTTCCGCACATGCTGCAAAAATAAACATCTCTTTGAGTATACAAATTGAATTAGTTTAAAAGTGAACTAAGTTCGGATTAATGTTGATTACAGAAGTGAAATTAAAATTAACTATTGAAACTAAAACGATTTCAGATTCAATCATACAATATATCCGATATGCATAAAATATGAAATAAGTAATGATGGGTATAGGAATTAAATCATCGATATATATTAAGACGTCTTAAGACTCGAAGTTATCTTTAGAATCGAAGCTGTTGCATCAACACCAATAACCAGTCCAATTCTCATTAATTCTTCAAAGGGTACATTTGTGCAGGTTAACTGTGTCCTCTTCAACTTGTTTGCCACTCAAATGAGCAGCAGATGCAAGGCAATGTTTCAAAGTCATCGCTGAACCAAATCGAAAGTTCTCTTTAGTTGTTCACTTCAATACACACGTATGCACACACACACAGGCTCACATCGATTAACGCTTTGCAACACAATAGAAAATTGTGTCTTCTCCATTGATTTTATAAAAGAGTGCGATTCAAACTAGCAAACACACCCTCACACACATTCACATCCACTCTCAACAACACCAACACAACACAACAAGTACCCGAGGGTGATGCATACTTACAGCCACTGCCACGATCCCGAAAGGCGGTGTATAGAATGGAAAACGTTGAATTAACGGCCTGTTGCTCGGCATAAAACCGCATATGCAAAATATTGGACTCCGATGTAATACCCTCACCGGCAGACCCACAAAAGTTTTTCACTCTGCAAAAAATGGCGGAAAAAGGGAAACACAAAACAAAGATGAAATAAATAGAAAACTGTTCACAGTCAGTGAGCGGGTGAGTGGATTATTTCCAATCAGCTCAACATTCAAATTCTTGTAGTCGAATGCAAGCGTTGCGTTAGTTGTTCATGGTCTCCAGGGGCAAAAGGTCAAATTGCATGCACAAGAGATGCCTAAGTAGGGGGGTGTCGGGTAGCCGAAGCGACTAAATGAAATTTTGATTTCCACATACATAAATACAATTGCATTCGAACCCAATTGCACCAGTTGGAGCAACAGTTCGATGGCAATGCTTGTCACACTCCGTCTCTCTCTCCCTCTCTTTATTTGCTTGCACATCAATCACGGCAGCGATAAAGCCTCAATGCCAACGGGGCCACAGTTAAAGTTGTCAGCAATAGTTTCGAAATGAAGTGGCAGTTGGCTGGAATCCAAACAGTTTTCAGAAATGATTTGTTGATAACTAAGCATGGAGTTTGATTGAATATCGATGCATATTTCCAAAAGTTGATACTAGGCTGCATCGAATAAATGCTATTTTATAAATTTGTTAGGTACGAATGTATTAATAAAGCCAGAGTTTTGAAAAATTCTTCTATAGTCTCTTAGAACAATTTTAACCGTTCCTGTTAACCCTAATACATGAAGAGCTTTGAAATTTGACACAAAAAATTGCATTAAGGTTTGGATGATTACCATTGAAAATGTCTAATATTGGCTACAGTTAAGGCATTGCCCCTATATTAAGGTACCACCTGATTACCAAAGGATAATCAAATCGTTTAATGTTGGTAGACTATTTATAAAATCTTCTTTACACCAACCGATTTTTAGTATCTCGGAGGTTTTCAATCTTTTTACTAAAAAAGTTACCACTTTTTGTCAAATTTTAAAATAAGGCAAACTCCCGCTTGTGGATTTTTGACAATGTTAGTCATAATATTTAACTGAATTGACTGCAATTGGACATCTAGGACATCCTTCTAGTTTTGGGTTTTTAAAGGTCCTTGCCACATTTTTCAACTGAAAGGTGTTTTGATGGTACCGTAGACTGAAAATAATAGCTATAATTTAAGTTTTCTTCACAGTGCGATTCTTAGTGGTTTTTATATTTGTATATGCAAACTAAATCCGAAAGAAAATGTAGATTTACATTTACACCTATAATACTGAAGCGATGTCATTATTTATCTATCAAAAGATTGATGACTCTAAATATATTTGAGCCATTGGCCAAGCCAATTGCTCACCGATTGCGACAACTGACAGAGTAAATTAAATGAAATTGAATCAATTGGTTTGGGGTGGCAGTGCAGCAAAAGTTTCTGTTGCCACCTTGTCTACCAAATACAAAGTTTGTCAAATTAAAGTCATTCGGATTCACTTTTCGCCCTGGAGAGCCAAGCGTGCAAACGCCTCTAAATTGCGTAAATATTATTTTGAGTGTTCAATACTCACCTGAGGGGCATTACTGTTTGTTCTGGGAAAATATCTAGGAAATTCACGTCACAGTCATTGGGTTTGGATAATTTAAAATCTAAGAATTTCACTTGGATCTGTTGGAGACACCAGCAGTGGCGATGAGATTGGAGGGAGGAGAAAAACGAGAAGGAAAAAATTAGCATACAAATCAATAAGGATTTTTTGCTTTATCTGTATGTGTGTGTTTGTATGAATATGTGAATGGGATTACTGAGAATGAAAGTGTGAATTTGGCTGGGCATGTTCGAATGTATTTATGCATGTGTGTTTGTGCGACAATGTTAAATATGAAAAATAATAATTGAAAATTGAGAAATGAATTTTATTCGATTCGATAACGATGTGTGTGTCTGCGTGTTGGATTGCCACATTCGATTGCTTCGAAATCCAGGGACTTACCTTCCACTTCTCCTGCACCTGAATACGCCACATACAATCCAAGGCAATTTTATTGGCAGCTACAGTGTCTCTGATCTCCTGCGGTATATCAGTGCTGTTAACAAACCCCTCATCGCCGCCCTTTTCGATGGTGCAATTCAAATCCGTACTGGGAGCTACAGAACAAAACGCCAGACCATATGTGATAAAAATTTAAATACAAACAAAAGAAAAAATAAGTAAATCTAAACAATAAAATAAATTCGAAAAATAAAATGCAAATTTTTACTGGAACTCCTTTGCATTAGTCTATCCGTCCATCCATCCATCCTTCCATCCATCGGTGAATGAATGGCATTTCCAATGAATTGAGGGAATTACTTTTGATCGTTTTGTTGATTTGCCATTATTTGTCAAAAATCAGTGAGTGCGGACGATTGTTCTGGTCCCCCAAACATTCATAACGGAAATGTGCATGTATCTGTGAGTGTGTTCCTCCACAGATGCCTGGCTACGTATGTATGTCTGTATGTGTGAGTGGTGATATGTTGCTCAGAGAATTGAGTTGATAAAGTGCCCAATAAAATATGTTCCACTCAGTGCTTATGGTTTTTTAAGTGACTGCCATTTGTAAATTGTCAACTACGGCATGCATGTTGATATGGATGGATATTTCTATGGACCTGTAGTTGTTCTTACAAATGAATACACACGCACCTCCACACACATACTTACACACCTACATACATACGGCAATGTAGAACGTTACACAACAAATCGAACCAATTTAAAATAAGTGTTATTTTTAATAGACTCATTCTAATTCCAAAAGGGACTGTTAGGAGAGCTATCCACTGGATTGTTGTGAATTCGGATATTTATAATACAGTTCAATAAACTTACCATCACGCGTTCTGTCTATAAATTCGTATACAGCCGTAAAGCCAGAATATTCTATGCTCTCATCTGAGTGGAAATGCAGCCAAAGGTATCTTTCTTTCGAAGTTATCTCCGGCGGAAAGTCGGTTCCGCAAAATTTTCCAATTAAATTTGAAAAACCATATTGTCCATCGCGTATCTGAAAAAAGTCAAGATTAACATTCTATTTAAATTTACCGTCAATTCTAGAGAATGCAACTTGAATTCTCACATTCAATCATTTGTTTGTTAGTCTTCGACGTTAGAAATGACGCAATGACCATCGAGATAAAGACAACATTTTAGTGGTAAAGTTTTAAATAGTTGAAATGACTCGAGTGCTACCCCAATGGGTTAGATGGTTTCTCCCATCAAACTTTTCCAAAAATAGGTCCGGTGAATTTGTATGAAATTCGTTGTAAAACGAAAAGTTTATTTCCAAGTCCCAATTGTGTTGTACAACGAGGTATATTAAAAGGATTCCTTTTAATCCTTTAACTTTACCAACCATCACTGACAAGCGGGACATGAAAGTTTGTTTTGTTGGTTTCTTTAAGACTTGTTGCTACAACAAGGAAGATCCTTTGAAAGTTTGAGTCAAACAAAAATATTATGCCGCGTTTGTTCAAGGATTTCTTGACCCCACTCAACGATTGTAAAATGGCAACTTTGTGTGAAGCCTTTTTTAGCTGCTTCATTTGAGCCGGTAATCATATCTTCCACAGGCACTCAACTTGCTGTGTCCAAAAGGAAATTCAAAACATGCCAAATCTTGCAAGTGGCGATGGCAAAACGAAATCTTAAGTTTTGCAAAATCTCATGTTTATCACAGAAACTTGGCCAGCAAATATTAGAGTAAATTGTTTGTATTTACACACAGATAAACAAGTCCAAACGAAAGCTACTTTATGACGAAAAAGTCCAGAAATGAAATTGTTAAATCCTCCATATTTCTCAAGGACTCTCTTATACGTATATAGTATAAAGTAAAGGGTCATTGAATTACTTTTAGTTTGGACAGTTTGCAAGACGCATCATTGCATATATTTTTGTTCAAAAAAATGTATTCTCCCTGTCCAATACTTCTTTATTAGATTTATGTATTTTACCCCTTGCCTTTATTCTATGAAATTGGAATTTTTCACAAAACTTCGGCTGTACCTTTGTGACTCCATGAAACATTTCCATTCTAAGAATATGCCTCATAATACACATGGCGCTATTTACTACCATTACCTTTACACCACCTTCCACAACTTACCTCCAAAAAGTCAAATTTGCAGTCCTCCTTCTCTTCTATGTGAAATGAATTGCGAAAATCCAGGCGAATTATCTGCCCCTTTTGTGCTGCAAAAATACCAAAAAAAAAGAGAGTAAAATGTATGAAGTTTCAAGTTGTTTTTTTATTATGACCATAACCCATAGTTTTTAGTAGGGAAGGAAAGTAAGGCAGATTTTGAAGATTTTATATCTTAGAGACGACTTTAAGCCGCCTGCCAACGCACACAGGTGGGAGCTTTAGTTGGAAGGTGTTGATGTGAGGATGAATAGAAATATAAATCAAGACAGTTATAGTTTGAACTGTTATTTTCCGGGAAGACCTTAAAATTTTGTATTCCCAAACGAAGAAAACTCATATTATAAGTCAAAATGTTCAGAACTATTGTTGTCCTGTCCTACATCTTTGAAATTTAATACTAGAGTTTCCCAGTGTGTAAAAGTTTTAAAGAACAGATGTTTTTATATAAATCTATGGCGTTGGGGTATTATTGGTCCCAACTTATTGTTATTACTGCGCAAAATCCTAACATTTTGTTCGGCCATCGGGTAAAATTTAGCGGGTAAAAAAGACCATAACTATTATGTAAAAAAAAAACTAAACCGCGAATATTTTTAATCCCGGCAAAATCACAAATACATTAAAAGGTCACTTCTAACCAATAGGTAAAATTATATAGGTAAAATTTTTTATGTAAATGAAATTGATGTTAGTTATTCCGCTTAAAAGCCAAGAATCGCTGAACGGATTTTGACAATTTTCACCAAGTTACAATGACCTCTTGCCAGAAAAGGGTAAAACCTAAGCGTAAAATATGCTAAGAAAAAAGTGAATATTTTTAGTTACATTTTTGACATATTTTTTACTCGCATTTGAATTTTTTAATTTGACTTACAATTTAGAATAATTCGACAGGTCGTAGTTATGGCCCGATCCTCACGAAATTTAAAATGGAGGTGGGGTTAGACTCAGAATATAACCCTATTGTTTTTAGATGATTGCACAATATTTAGGGGTTGAAATGGACCAAAAACAGAAAATTTTTCTGATTTTGCAGTTGCTCTATATGCCACAATTATGAACCATCGACGCGGAAATAACATGGATTTATAGTTTAGGACTGGGCAGAAGCCTACTTATTTGGGTGGCCATGGGACAATATTTAGAGGGTAAAATAGACCCTTAGTTTTATATGAGGAAATAAGAAAATTTCCACTAAACCACGAATATTTTTAATCCCAGCCAAATCACAAATAAATTAAAAGGTCACTTCTGACCATTAAAGTGATGCTGAATATTAAGAATATATTTTATTTATTCTGCTTATATGTCAAGAACCGTTGGGCCGATTTTCACAATTCCCATCAATTCGGAATGGTCTCTTGCCAGAAATGGATAAAGTCTAAGAAAATCGCGGAAAATATATCAATAAAAAGTGAATATCTTTTGTTCAATTTTTGTCATATTTTTTATTGCATGCGAAGTACCGGGAAGAAGTGTAGCATTTTGAATGACCATTGGATTACATTTAGCTGTAAAAGGGGCCAAACTTTCGCGTGAAAATGTTTTGAATACCTAACGACACGATGGAAATGGAAATGCACCCGGTTAAAAACTTATGGTAGATCTCTTTGACATCATATCTAAAACAAAATCTTACAAAGTAGATTTGGACATAAGGGGCCTGACAACATATTGTGGTGTTGTAGGGTATCATATGGTCGGCCCCGCACGACCAAAATATTTGCTTAATTGTTTTTATCTGATTTTGCAGTCGATCTACAGGTTACAATTGAAAACCAATCGAATTTTGCATGAGGAGAGTGTTAAGGACAGGGAAGAATTCGAGCATTTAGGATGACAAAAATATCTATAAATTAATTTTGAATTTGCAAGGAAATAAAATCACATTATTTCATTTTTGGACACTGAAAGTTCTCCGCAAAAAATTAATGCATTGGCGCAATTTCATGTGGCTGGATGTGACAAGTTCATAACTGTACATTTTTACAAGCTGTCCTCCTTCATGCCTTTGGAAATTTCTTGCGAAAAGAATAGCTGTGCTACCGTTCAAGCGAAATCACTTTTTAGTGTTTCATCAATTATCTGCTTAACAGAGAATAACTTTTAATTGCTGATTGAAACCTAATTACAACTTTACGCCTGTTCACTTTACGCCTAGAGTGCGAAGCAATCTCATGAACATAATAGCTTTGTTCCCCCATTCTTTCAATGGTAAAACTACTAAAAGAGTTAAATTTGAAACTCACTTTGGCCAACCTACTTTACTCAGAATGTAATGGAATGGAAAACTATAGAAATTGTTAAAATTTTACTTTAATCCTTCAACAAGAACACATGAGCCCATATGAAGCTGGCAATTATGCTTCTACTTTTTACTCGTCCCGATTTGCTATTTCAATTTTGGCAGAAAGTTTTACTACTTTTTCGAGTGAGCAAACGTTTTCTATAGTAATAATTTGCAAACATAACAGTAGCTGCCGATTCCCGCCAACAAAGAAACGAAGCTAATGTATAATAGTTTAACATTTTCGAGTCACTTCTAAACTTGTTATTGTCCTTCATTAATGAAGTGAATAGTACTATTTCTAGAATCACTTTTACAGCGATAATTCGTAAAGAACTTTAATCTGTTGCTAACTTTTTGAGTGTGTGAGAAGTGTTAAAACAACTTTCATGGAATGGATGTTTGCGTCTTATAAATAATACGAATGTTCACCATCTCAAGTTGTTGTAATTGCTTATGTTTTAAAATGATGTCGGAAACCTTAAACCTAACGTCAACGTAGAGTCCCTCTGCATATGTTTGTATGTAAGCATGTTAAAGCCATTGTTCCTTAAACAACAAATCACTTTACGTACTCATCCACGGCGCAGTAGATCTTTCCCTCTAAAATGTAGATATTTTAGTTTTATGACGTGTGGAAATGCTGTTAACGACTTGCTGTGCCCTGTTACCAAATGTTGTTAGTGCACTGTCTTCCAAATATGAGGCCGGCAACACATGTGGCTACCATTATTACAATGATTATGATAAAAAAGATGTTAATGGCTTAAGGGTATAATTTTTTGGTTTACGAGTTAAAAAATACGACGACGTTACCATGTAATATTCGGACTAAGGTACATTTTTCTCATTAAAATTAACCCCAGTTGAAGTTTTCAGCTTTTGTCGTTTCGTTTTACAATATATTTCGCTGTGTTGGAAACACGTTACAACAAATGGAACAATGTTTGACACAAATCTGGGACTTATTATCTGCTCATATTGCCAGCATCTTAATTTTTTATTTAGCAAAAAATTTTACTTGAATTTATGCCGATTTATCTTCGTTAAAAAAAGTCAAATAGTATCAGTCGGTTTTGGCGACAGATACCTCCAGCCTTGACTTTTGATTGTTCAAAGGTTTAACTCTTTATGGGGGAAGCTCCGAAGCAGTTGGTCAATATTGACAAATTAGTATCTAACCTAAGGACTATATCGACTACTTCCTGTGCTATGTGAACATTTGGAAGATGTTGAAATATGCGTAATGTAACGGACAAAGCGGACCGAAGTATTTCATTTTCATACTTCAGCTAATACAGATAAAAATATTAATATGTGCTAAATTTGAAGGAAATAGAAAAATGTTATCATTAAGGGTTTAAGAGAAATGCTTAGATCAAGAAAGTTGTAAAGAATCGCCGAATTTTTTGTAAGTTATGACAGAGTATTGACCCTTTGTGGAGGGGGTTGTCAGATGTATATCATCATCACAATAGGTCTTGTTTTTCAAAATCTTTAACCCCATGTGGGGTAGGTACCAGGAGAAATGGGGCGATTTCTACCATCTTTATAGCGGATCTTGTGTAAATGGAAATATTGAGATATATCAAGTCTAAATGGAATCGGACGTTATTTTCGCATTTTATGAGCTTCATGGATACTCAAAACTTTGACCCTTTGTGGGGGAGGTACCAGGAGGAGTGGATATGTTCCATCTTCGCGCCAGACCTAGGATTAATAAAAATATTATTATGTGTGTAATTTGAAGACAGGAGGTACTTAGTGGACCCATATTGTTCATTTTCGCACCCAATATAGCGCTGATGCAAAGTAGGAGCAAAATCGGATTATAATTTCTCTTTCTGTGCAATAAATTATTTTCTTTAAAAATGTTGACATTTTGTGGGGGAGGTACAAGTGGGAATGGTCCGATCTCCATCATCTTTATAACAGATTTCTTGTTGGTGGAAATATTAAGATGTACCAAGTTTGGATCAAGTCGGATACTCGCGAGAGTTATCGTGCGTCAGCCAGGCAGAGGGATGGACATCGCTAGATCGGCTCCAAATGACCTGTAACAGATTTGATCCAAAGAGACCTAGGATCTAAAACCGTTATTTGAATGAGGCACGTTTAGGCCGTATCAAATAATATATTCCATCTGTAGCCATATGGCTGAGGATATAACTAGTTTTAATCTCCTTGAGCCAGAGCTTTGAAACCAAACATGAGGGCTACCAATTTTACGGAGCGCTAATATAAGGGGGAATTAAGAAAAATGGGTACTTAAAGGCTAAGAATATTATTAAATATTACAAAACAGCTGCAATATTAAACTTTTGACTGAGGCTAAATATTGTACTTTCATTTAAAAATTAATCCAGAGGTGAATGAATTGAGGTGCTGACAATTTCAATAGCTTTCCATAAAAAATATTTTCCAAACCACTTATGACGTATACATGGTGGTGCCTTTGTTTGCACTCTGCCGAAAGAAAAGAACTTCTAAATGCCTATTATTAACGAAGTTTTGCAAATGACATCATCATCCAGTTCCGAATATGTAACATATGCAGATAACTGCTCAACTTGCAAAACATAGCTATGCGTCAGTGGCCATGTTCGGTAGAATGTGAGAAGTTTATTGGGAATCTCCAGAGGAGGAATGGATTTTCATTGATTTCAAATTGAATGAGCCACTCACAACACGGCATCCATGCACATATGTATGTACATTTATACACGTCAAATCGAAACGAGACAGATTCAAAATTTATTGTGATTTTACTCCACCTTTGCTTGTTAACGCACTCACACACACGCACACGTACGTACACATGTATGTGCTTTGTTTGCTACGGTGAACCGTGCCATTCACATAGTCAACAATGAATTTCAATAAATTCTGTCATTGTATCAAGGGACGCATGACGAAATGTGTTGACTTTTCTATTGGAGATATTGATTTATGGTCCTTTCAGTCCTCAATGCCGCGTCGCATTCGAACCCGGATGCCGTCAACTTGGCTAAGCTACTTTAAATACAATTCAAATGTGTTACTCGAAACTTTTTTAATAAAACCTAAAAAATATGGCAATAATTCTTCATTTGTTGTTTCATTCAAGCGTCGTAGGCGTTATTCGTTGGGTAATATGTATGGACAGGTCTTTATCCTTATAACGATAAAAGGAGCTTTTATCGTTGGCCCACCATTGCCTACTGGCTACTCATCTCATCGGCAAATGTGTCGCCAGAATTTTAAGTGATTTATATGTAAATTGAACATTAATAAGTTACCTCCCCCCCTCCCACTCTCCCTTCCTTCCTCTTGCTTTTCGGTAGTAATTGTCATATCATAATCTAATGAGATTTTATGACAGCTCAGTGTCGATTTCAACATTTGATTGATTTTTCGCTAATGAGGACACGTCATGCATTTGTGGAAATTGTAATTACATCGAAAAGCTGGCGTGAACATTTCAGCTGTGCCAATACTGCGATTTGACAAAAGGTGTGAATTCTCACGTAATACAGGTCATTGATCACTAAGCCGTTTATGTCGGCAATGTATTCGAAGATGAAATGCACTTCAGAGATAAATATGGAACGGAAATGAAGTCGGCTTAAAAAAATGGCATAGACGATCTTAGTTACCAACTTTTTTCATTTTGCTTAGGAAATATGAAAAAGTTTTTTAGACCTAACTATTGGTAATGACGTTATCACATTCGCATTATGATGTAAATTACATTTACATTATGATGTAAATTCCAAATCGAATGGAACATGTTGCGAGCTATATTTTGTAACTATATCTGAAGGATAAAAGCCGGGTGGTAGAATTATATCATACAAATTATGCTCGTTATTTTTGCGTGTTGCATTAACTAATATGGAACCTATCTCTTAATTTTAATCAATTTTCATACACTATGATGGAGGTATATCCTCTCCTACCAAATATCAATTCTACAGAGTGCATGTTTTGAATTTAAAAATGTCTTAAATTAAAATCGGTTGAAGCTTATGTATCGGAAATAAACTTATATCTGAACCGATTTCAACCAAATTTGGTATATCTGCTTCCAGGCTATATAGGGTGGAATGTGTCAAAATCCACCTTATTTTGCATATTATAATTTGGGCGAATTAAATTATTCGGATAAAACATATATATGTGACCTATAGCTTTATCTGATTTTCAGCAAATTCGATGTACTTGCTTCGGACCACCTAAAGTTGGACCAGTTATCGCCAACTGTCCTTGGGTCACACAAAGGATTTGGGTAGTGTACCAAAAATTGAACCGCTATAGCATGATACTAATCTGACTAAGTCACATTTCTATATTCTATCCTAATTTTCCATCTCGATTCGTTTGGATGCTATCATGATGGATAGCATACAAAAGATGGATAAACTGACTGTGTCGACTCAGAATTTTTTTCTAGTCAAGGATATTTACATACTTTCTTGAGCTCAACACCAAAAGATGTGGAGCAAAATAAATTTGTCACTGCGTTTGAAAAAGCGTTGGCATTTCTAGTAAAAATAAAGCTTCCTACAGAAAATGTTCCACGTAGGCCTATTATTTGACAAATCCCTAATAATGGTACCTACTGATCAGAGAATACAGTTCAACATTTCAATAGAATTGGCTTTAAATTGGCTATTTGGGTTCTGTTTGAAAGAAAATTCGACATGCAATATTTTCCAGTGACGGTTCACATTTTGACTTAAGCGCCATATAAAGGTAACAGCGGGATTTTAGTTAAAATCTTGAAAGATGCGAAACAAATCATTATAAAAATTGTATAGCGTTAATCTAAAGATTGGAATGGTGTTTTGGGTTCGTAACCGATAAAACAACTAACGACTAATACATTCAGTAGTTACTTTTACGGATCGACTATGCTATGGGGATTTTAAGAACAGTTTTGACTCAAATTAAAGTTTTTTTTTGCCATTACAAGTTTAATCCGGGCACTATATTATTGTGGAGGTAAAACTAGTAAAACTAATTTCCTCCCATGAAAATGTATTCGAATTTAAATTATTTCCCTGTAGATATGACGAGCTTTATACTGTAGATACCTGTAGAAATTCCGTAACTCTGGTCCTAAATACCAATAGATTCCAAAAACCTTGGAGAGGTTTCGTTTCGCTCATTATTTTGCCTATTTTGCTTATTTTGATAAAGAATATTAAAATGATTACAAATTAGGCCATTCACAGGAGAGGAAAGTCATCAAGCCTCAATAGATTTTTATCTAAGAGTCGAACATGAAAATTGAAATCATGTCATATTGTGATTTGGCAGGTGATATTCCCATTACATTGTGCAATAAGGTTCAAAGTGACAACTTGTTAAAACGTAATCTCCAAAAAAGTCCTGAACAACCAACACATGCAACACCTACACACATCCATGCAGGTATGTGCTGATGTGCTTATGTCCTCCAATAACAATGCATTTGGAAGATACGAGTACTTACCCGTAATCACACGCGTGCAATTAATGTTCTTTGGATAGACATTCGGATAGTCGGGACTATACAACTCCATCTTTTCGGGATCGCCTACTTCAAACAAACGACATTTGTCGATTGGCTCATCGTCCGCTTGCCGGGTCTGGCGCAGCAAAGTCCGAGGCTGAGTAGATGCGGCTAAAAGTGCTGGTCTCTTTAATTGATTGCGATGCCAAGGCTGCAGGTCTGAGTGGGTCGTTTGCAGTTGTGATGACACCGACATATCTCTGGCGTGTTTGTTGCTGTTGTTAAGGCTGCTGATTGTTATTTGGTCCTTTCTGCTGGGCTGGGGGGTGTTTTGTTTAGTTAACTTTGAACTAGATGAGACTGTGGCTGTGATTCTTTGTCCGGTGATGGTCTTTTGTACTTCTTCGATGTTGTGCATCTGATTCGACGCAGCGCCGACATGATTGCCCTTAGGACGTTGTGCATGTTGTGTGACAATTGTTGTTTCTGCCGATGTTGTGCCGGAGTGCAGGCTTGAATTCGATTCTATTCTGGGATACTTGGGGTTTTTGCTGTCACCATGAAACGGAGCGATTTGTACGTTCGTTGTTCCTTTCTCACCCATTGTCTCTGTGGATTTGGGCATTGAAGCTGGTGTATCTGTTGTTTGGATAACAACGTCGTAATTATCACCGGTGAGAGCAGGTGTGCTGGGGTTGTTCGTTGATGACCTGTAAACTGAGTTCCGTATTTCTTCTTCTGCTACGGGTCCAGTTGTAGTTGATGCTGTTGCTGTTGTTGTTCTTGCTCTTGCTCTTGTTTCGTATGAACTTTGTCTTGTCACTGCAATTTGTCCGAGCAGAGATGATGTTGTAGTTGTAGTAATTGTTGTTGCTGGTGTTGCTGTTGGTGTTTTCGAGATAGTGAAATGTGTTTGCATTGTGGCCAGTGTGGCTATCATATCGGATTGCAGTGCAGGATATAACTCGGGGATGGTGTTCCTCTGAGTATCTGCTAGGGGCTGAGCCGATGATGGCTCTACTTCGTTCGATTGACTAGGTAATTTGCTATTGAACTTTGCAAATTTAGTCATGGCTTTGTAGTAATTATTTAAATTCGTATCTGTTTTTGTTGTTATTGCTGTCATCATCTCCGGTGACACTGCAAAGAGAGAAAAGTCAAGAATCAAAAGTTGTAGCCATAAGATTGTTATACGATGCCGTCTAATATCAATTTTATTTTTAATTAAATTTTGAAAGAAAACTCGGAGATTTGGTTTGCAGAAGAAACTGGGATATTTTGTTGGAGTAGCTGCAGTTAAAACGACAGGGAAAATAAAAATAAGTTTGGCATTTTAAACCATGAACTGTTGCCAATTTTTTATGTTGTGATAGTGATAAGCAGTAATGATGATGATGCAAATGCCTATGACATAACTCATTAACATAATAATTTAACTATGTCCAAATGTGATGTCCGGCCTATTTTGAAACTTTCTTCAGCAAATTATTCTATCTCTATTTTTCTAAAAATGTTATTGTTTAAAACTAGACTTCAAACTACTGTAGACACAAAACAAAGTCGAGTATCAAATACAAAATATTATTGTAACCCTGTGTGAGGATAGCAAATGCTGCATAACTACTTTTGATGATACAAAATATCAGACTCAGTGAAATAGTATCGTTCTGCAATGATTGTCGAGTAATTATGGAGAATTCCCATTTTGTTTAAAACCTTCATACCAATACTGCTCGAGTCTGCAGATATATTCAAATTTATAACCCAAGATATATAGCCACACAAATTTTGAGAATACTACATACAAAATAATGTAGGTCTTCTCGTGGTTGTATTATCCATATATCGAATTTTAAAATAATATACACTAGTCACGATTAAAATTTAAATGTTAACATTTCTGTAATTTTGCCACTTAAATTGCCAATCAGTTTTACTTTATTATAGAAATAGTACTCATTTTCAATTTTAAGTTTCCACAACATTTTAATTTTCCCTAATCATTTTCAGTACTTTTTATTATACCCTGAGCCATATACAGGTTTACCTGTATACGGACCCATCTGGCAACGCCATAACTTTTGACAGAGATGTCACATCGCTTAATGACATACCGCGATTGAAGCGTCAGTCCAAGCAGATTTTTACCATGAACCAATACACGCCACTCAAGCGCTCTGAAATAGTTGAAATTTACATTCAACAGAAGAAGTCAATTGTGAAAACTCAACGTGCTTTGAAAACATTTAAAAATGTGAGAAGTGCGCCTTCTAAGAACATCATTTAGCGTTTATACGAACAATTTTCGACTGGTAAGGCGATCGGCCGAGAATATCGCTGCCGTACGAGCCAGTGTTGAGAGGTCCCCAAGAACATCCCAAAAACGCCGTTCTCAGCAGTTGGGCATGGCTCGGTCCACTTTACAACGGATTATTCGCATTGATTTGCATTTGTTCCCGTACGCAAAGAATGTTACCTGCGGACAAGCCTCGTCGATTGGAATGGGCCCAAAGGGCCGAAAGGCCCGTCGAATATGGGCAATCCGTAGCTACAGAGGGTATATGTCATTCGATATGGTCAATGGCATATACGGTACCTACTCCAAAGAGGGTTAACAATTTGCACAATCATAACAGAAGCCAAAATGTATTTAAATACAAAATTTCAAAAATTTTATTAACCTACTATTTTTAGTCATTCCGTTTGAATCCTACAGTGATTTGTACAGACGGATAGACAGGCGGCTAAAAGGACAAAATCGTATGCTGCTCTAGAATATATCGCTCACTTACTTCAAGAGTAGGTAGAATAGCTCAAAAAAAAAAAAAAAAACATTAGCAATTTCTCAATTTTTCTACGAATCGTACTTTATATTCCAATCAACCAAGGGTAGACTTCAAGGAGATACAGATATTTAAGTTCGAGATTAACCAACACAACAGTACAATGACTTTATAAAGCACTTCTACATCTAATTATGCTTGATTTTGCACAAAAATATGCCACTGATTTATGGTAACCTCTTTGTTAATAACTGTCTATGGAGTTATACTACTTTTTGTGTAATAATCTTTTAAATTTGGCAAGTATAATTTGATTTTAATTTTTATTTCATTTTTCTTAAGACTGATTTTTTTTGAGATGTGACACTCATTGAGTGACTGAACGATATATACTTTGTTTGGGATTTAATTTGATAATATTTTCTGTTGTGAAACAAAATGCCCTGCCATGACTGTCATAAAAGTTTAATGAAGTTCAAATAAACAATTTAGTTGTCAATTTGCAATAATTATCGCCAGGTGCAAAATAAATATTTAATACGAGATATTTTTTACTTGAAATTTATGCGTATTCGTTATATGTTCTCGCCAAAATATACTACCTCCCCATAGAGTACCAAATTTATTGGTTGATAATAAATTACACACAGTCCCTGTGACTGTTAAATAAATATTTAAAAAGTATAGCCCACTTGATCGTCATCAAAGTTAGTCAAGAGTGCAACTTAATAATGACATTAGGGTGTACGTAAATAAAAAAGTGCATCTCATTATTGGCAATATCTTAATCATATCAGGGTTCCTTAACACAAATGTTTTCCTAACAAAACTTGGCTGTTTTATTTTAGCAATAGCATAAAAATACAAAAACTTTTTCAGCACACCCGAATATAGCTACGTACATATGTTAATATAAATGTTACACAAACAGAAGTTATCTCTCATCAATACGCAAACACTCGTACGTACATTCGTTAACATTTACAAAAAGAAAATATCTTATGGAAAATATACAGAAAGAATTCAAAGGGAATTCGAAAGGTCCTCCCAAGGGTCAGTGTAATCTAAGTTGAATGATTTCTGGAAATGTCGAAATGAAAACAAACGAAAAAAACCCTCAATACATTTCACATTTGACTGTTGCTCCGGTCCACGCCGTAGCGAACAAAGGGACGAATATCGAGAAAACAAAACTGGAAATAAAATGCTCAACTATTATTATTCGCCTTTATTGATGTGCTTGTGTATGTGTGCGACCGCCTAACACAGATATCTTTTCACATCATTACATAAGTATTGTGTTTATTTCGATGTGTTGAACACTGAATACATTCTAATTTTCCTTTAATCCCGAATCATTTCGAATAATTCACTTTCCCCGGCATGGTAGTCATGGGACGCAGTCAGAAGACCTTGTGGCATACCTACTTCCCTCTGTCGCTGCGCACTTCCATTGTGGTCCATTGTTATTCAAGTCGCATCGCTCTAAAAGCACAGCATCCCACATAACTACACCGCAAATGTCGGTGGCATATGTGAACCTTGGAATGGAGTGATTTGACATCAGAATCAGAAAGTGAAATAACGAATTGTAAAAAGAAATGTCTGAATTAACATAAAGTTGTTTGTGCTGGTGTGATACAGATACTGGCTGGGTTTGTATTTTGTTTAAAGTTTATTCTTAAATGAGACGGAGCTATTGACGTAAGTTTCAATTAATTATAAACATATTTTTCTCTACAAATTTATATTTATTTTATCTTCTTTACTTCCCAATATTTAATTATATTATTTTAATCAGACGTATTTCAACTTTTGCAGAAAATATTTTCCTTGCCTTCAGATTTGTTGCCTTGTTGTTGTTTTTTATACCCTATACCACAAGTGGTAAGGGTAGTATGTGTTTGTATATTTGTTTGTAACATGGAGAAGAAAGCGAGATACCCATAGTTACTTTTGAGGATCTTCATAGAATCACTTTCTGAGTCAATTTATGCATGTCAGTCTGTCCGTCCGTCCATGTATTTTTGTGAACAAAATGCAGGTCGCATTTATTATCCAATAGAGATGACATTTCCCAAACAATATTTGTTTGGCCCAAGGACGAATCCTATTGAAATTCGTGAGAATCGGTTCAAATTTAGATATACCTCCCATATATAACTTCAACCGATTTTGGATTAATGGCCTAAATCATCACCCTCAAATTTGGTGAAAATCGGTCCAGATATTGATTTAGCTCGCATATATTTGTTTCATCCGATTTGGTATTTAAGTCCCTCACATTCGTAATATGCATTCGACAACAATGATATTTGGTACGAGATATCTTAGAGAGGTCGGAATACGTTTGCCAAATGTTATCGTGATCGGTTAAGATTTGGATATATGTTGGTTCCCATATGGTGGAAATTGGCTCCGATATATATTTTTTAATATAATCATTCTCGAAGTGATATCATGCACTCTATAGCAATGTTATTTGGTATGAAAGATAAAAATTTATTCAAATGTCAAATTTAGTGAAAATCGATTAAGAATTGGATATGCCTCCAACCTGAAACCAAATTATAACTGCTCTAAAGCCAAATTTTGATAGCTGATAAGATCTACTTCAAATAAACTCTTTTGTTACGGGAGCTCTCAGAATATTGCCGACGGATCAAAATATATAATACATATAAGATGCATATTTACAAAAACTCCGATACACTTGTTTGTACTATTACTACCATGATGAAACAAGGTTAACTTTGAATTTGATTTTTTCATAATTTTTATTTGAAATTGAAATAAAAAGCAGCACCACATGTCTCATAATAAAAAATATAAAATAATAAATTTAGATTTCGATAGTGTGCTGCAATAATTTGAAACAATTCATGAATCAAAGTATATTTACGAATAAGTACAGAATTCCCAGTATCATTCCAAAATTCTAAATCACGAAATCAGTTACTTGACAATATGAACAACAATGAAATTATTAACATCTCTCACACTTAATCACAGGAATTGTTGCTTAAAAGGCCCTAGCAAATAAATTTGTTTTCGATGTCCTTATGAAATAGAAAGTATTTTCCTTTCTATGAAAGTTCCTAAAACTAATCTACCTAAATGGATAGAAAAATCAAAAAAAAAATAAAAAAGTAACCCTTTCCCGAAACGTGATGTTAGCAAACCCCATTTTGTATTTTCATACAACAACTTTTCAGCAATAAATGAAAAACTCTAATCTCTCCCTGTGAAAGCCCTCTAGGATTAGTTCATGGCTCAAGGTAAATGTTCCCAACGCATTTTCAGCCGTTTGCTGAATTCCCACCCACTTGGCTGTCAGTCACTCACTCACTCACCCACTCACCGTATCCTAGAAGAAAATCCATTATTAAATCCATTTGCTTTCGCTGCAATGGCCTTAATTGAATTATTCAATTTGAAACATCACTTTTAGTCTGCCATCTTCTGAGGATGCGTGTAAAAATCCATTTAAACCAAAGTGCCGCTTGTTAAGCTTCAGTCGATCACCCTATGGTGCTTTGTAGTGGAGTTAAGTTAGTCATTTACTTGGTAAAAATGCTGTTATTGGATATATGGTTTGGTTATACCATGGGAGAGGCTAAAACATTGAGTTTAGTTTTGTAAATGTGGCGCAACGAATCGCGATGGAAGACTTAACCCTTCTTTGCATAGTAATGGAAACATACATCATATTCATTATTGTCCGAAATTATCCCGCCAAATTGTTATTTGTACATTTCCGATTTGTTATAGATCCACATTTTTAATACGGTTCTCATACACCAACAAAGTTAACTGAATTCATAATAAGCTATTCCCTTCCTTACTAATTTCTATCAATTTAAATATACATTGCGAACTGATTAAGTCATAAATTTTGTAATTTACAACAAACCATCGGAATTCTTTTTGCTATTCCTAAACAAATACGTTTTGTCAGTTTCGGAATTATGATAATTGCCCTAATTGGAACGCTAAAGAGATAATCAATGACGTGCCACCTACAACGGAAGCCAGTCGAAACCCGCTTTTGGTATGAAGTGTTTATGTTTCTATTTAAGACTTTTTAGAAAACTAATTTTCTCCAGGATGTTGCATACCGAATGTCAAACTTTGTCTAACACCATGTGGTTGTGCTCCTCGGCTGCAGAGAGGGAATAAATATGTTAACTATGGCATAAAGTGCTTTCAAATTGAATCTGGCTGATTCACGTTATCCCCCTCCCCCTACATACCTTTAACCACCGCCACCAAACAACATCGTCTCTATGTGTCTCTGCGCCACCTGCAGTGCATGTCAAAGCCCAATCAAATGGCTGTGCGGCCTGCCTTATTCCTAGCAACAAACTGTTGCTTTTACAAATTGTATTTTATTTTCCTTCTTCTTCTTCTGAACTTTTTTTAAAAACGAAAAAGAAAAATAAAATAATAATAATGAATAAAAATACGGCAAACAGCTCAAGGATGTATCACTTCGCCCCAAAATGTAAGCGTTCATTGAAAATTGTTTCACGGATTTTGTTGTGTGTCTGATGGGGATCGGTGTACCACATCTTGAAAGGAAATTGAAAATGTTTCAAATTTGATTAGGATATTACACATAAAACGTGCACGCAGACTGGAAGCATTTACACCGGGGCGGGGTGGTATGCAAATAAATACACGTTCAGACTTTGCCAAAGAATTTTAAACTTTTTACCAGACAGCCAAATTGCAAAACGTAACAAGGAGCAGGCAGCAGGCTCTCCTCCATCCCATCCCGGCCACTCATTTGACCACTTAGGCTAAATGAATTGCCAAGTCATAAAGGCAGTGTCCACAGAGCTATTTATGTCAAAGTATTTGTAAACTCTGGCAAACAAACTTTCGGCCCAACAAACAAAAATTCTCATTGAATAACTTCCGAATTTAATAACAGCAGAAAACAAGAAGCTCATAAAAAACGCCCGAAACTGAGAGGGGAAAACAAATTACTTTCCAATTATTTAGCTGCTCTTAATTGTTTCGTTCCCTTTACGTGGGTAAGCCAGGACTTAAGAATATTAAATCTTCTTAAGAATTCTTTATCAAAATTTAGCATAAAATCAATTAAATATAAAAATAGACTTGAGCTACACTGAATGAAAGCGGAACAATAGATAAATGACAAAAGTCAGTTGGAAATGACTATCCATAACTTGAAATTTAAAAGCAAATAATTTAGCTATGGGAAGAAAAACCTAGAATCGGATTGGATATTTCGCCTATCTGACCAATATTTTTATTAGCATCCAATTTCTGTGGAATGGGACTATAAAAGCAAGCTAAACCTTACTCAAGTATGTTATAGAGTTTAGTCTGTTCAGCATTTGACCACTTTTTTATGTATTATGAAGAATGGGCCAACATATGCCAACCTTTGACTGGATCTAATGTCAGTACATGTATTGGACTATGTGAAGTTTTAATTCAACTGTTAAAAATGTGATTATTATATGGCCTATTTGGGATATGCGACATTTAAACAAAATCGAAAAATGATTTCATTGATTTACCGGAGTTAACATTTATTTCCTTTGGGGGGAGGTACTCTTGTTGAAATATTAGATGTGCTAAATCAAAATATTGACCTTACATGGAAGGTATAAAAAAGGAGTGGTGCAAGCTAAAATCTATCCAAAAATTACGGTGTGCCAAGTTGCATCTATATCGGGTACTCCCATCGCCCTATTAAAAGAAATCAATTTTTCTCAACTCCGAAATCCATCCAATTTTGAATAAAGTACTAGAATCGACCACTGTCTGTACTGTCTAAAATAGTTATTTTTATGAACACATTTGGTCTTTATAAGCTGAGGGAATCAACACATGAACCACTAATTGGAATAGCATGCATAAATCGTGTAGGTATACCATGAAAAGCATCTATAGGTCTAAATTTTCTCCAAACCCAACGATGTAATATTCCATAAATATATAATACCCTGTACATCAGTGATGTAGCGCATAATGACGATCAAAAGATTGAAAAATGAAACTATTAACCCACTCAGAGGGACTTCTCTGGCTAACTTCTACAATTTCTATTAATACAATGTGTGATCTCCCATATAAACACTTTCGAGGAACATACCAACACGTGTTCATATTCACACCAACTCTCCTCATATCAAATGACTAAAAAAATAGAGCAACAATTCGCATCGAGGGTGTCATAAAATACACAAAAATACAAAAAAAAAATAAAATCGTAAAAAAATAACTTCACTTACCGTGAATAACGCTGGAGACCATTAACAGCATCATCAGCCAACTGCGACAGTAGCAACAGAAACAGCAACCACACGACACGCTACTGCTGGGCTTCATTATTTGTGCGACTGGTCCAGCGGACGTGTGCTGTCTCCCCCGCCACCTCGATTTCGATCTCTAACCAAAGCGAGAAACGCTGACAGGAGCCAGCCACGGCCACATAAACTGGTGTCCGATGAGCACTTAATGGCAACTGCACGCCACCACAAGTCTGATCTATGGACACAGTAATGGGCCAGCCTACACACACACACACTCAAAAACGCACTTGCCGATTTTCGGTGCTTTTGTCCGAAAAAAAAATCGCCGTTCTATGAAAGCAATCAATGGCTGAAAGCCACTGTTCCACTGACTGGGTTAGTTGAATGGCTGGATGGCCAATGTATTAAAACAATTGCAATTCCTGATAATGGCGGCGTAGCTGACGGGATGTCTGGCTAGATGGTCAGCACTAAAAAAGGCTTGAGGACACTCAAGACATCAGCTGGTTCGTTGTTCATTCACTTGTCGTTGGATCTCCTCCGAATCGTCTGCAATTTATGGAGTGCGTTAAGAACAGACAACGCAAACGTGTTGATGGCATCAGTGACGGAACGGAATACGCGTCGAACACCAAATCGTAGGCGTTAATAGGTGCGTGTGCAAAATCCCCGCTATTAATGACAATGTTGATGGCCGTTGACGGCAGTGGTCCCAGCCACTTCCAACCTCGGCTCACTCTATTCACCCACTAATCGTCTCTTGGCCACCACAGAGCGTGGAAGTGACAGCCAATATCTGTCTGTCCGTCTCTTCGTCTGTCTAGTGCGATTTCCTTAATTTTATGGCTATTCTCTTGGCGGATTGCTTAACAATGATGAAGTGGTGGTTGCCCGGCCCGATGACGATGATGGAAATTTGCACGTAATTCCCCGAAGCTCCTTAGGCAAAGGCGATTTCTTTGCGAACAACTTAATTGCTGCTGCCACACAATGATTTCGCACTTCCTGCAACTGGTTGCATGAAATAATTATCGCTTTGCGTTTAGTTTGCGTGCATGTGGTGGTGGTGGTGGCGGCGTTAGTGGTACTGGTAGGTGGCTGCTTCGTTCAGTTATCCTTCGGATGTTTTGTGCTGGATTTCCACTGGCTGGCAAAGCTTCTCGTCACGTCTATTCCTTATCCGTCCGCTCGTTGGTTCATAATTAATTTCTCCTCCATGCGCTATTGCCGTTGTCTGCTGTTTGTTCTGCAAAACATTATTAAAACACAAAAATGGGGAGAATTATGAAAAGTTATGGCAAAGGATGTGATGTAAGAAAGAGGATGCTGTCGGCTTAAGTCGACTATTAGTGGCTACATTTTGCGATAATAAAAGCTTTTGAAACACTATTTGTTCCATTGTTAGTATAACAGGGATTTTGCGTAACCCCAGAGTCTCCCCTCGAACATTGTTTGTCTATTTCGCTAGTAAAATAGATCATTATGTAACATTGTGACAGCTACACACAGGCGGGCAAGATTAATTTATTTTAACCACGCAACAGATTTATTGTTGTCAACTCACTATATATCGTGTAGGGAGGGAGGGAAGTTGGTACACACACGTCTATAAAATTAGTTATTTTATTTTATGTCGCTGGAGGGCATAGTAGCACTGCCAGACAATGCTGCAAAGATTGATCAATAATTTGGGAGATGTAATTTTCGTCACATGAACATTTAAGAACTTGATTGGGCAAAAACCCAAAAAAGCTACCTATCCTGGGTAACTTTTCATCGAATATGAACAAAAATGGACCATACTACAATATAATTACCTGGCGGTGCTTTGCAAAATATCGATAATTTAAAAAAGTTTCTTACACGTTGAGATCTTTTAAGAATTTATGCAATGCCCGGAAATACAGTCAAACTTTTCAAGAAACCATAAAGTGTGCGAAGCCGTTGCATGGGGAGCCCTGCCAAATCGGAAACCTATATAGACAATTTTATACTACAAGGTTTGTTATCTATTGGGAGTCTTTAATTTGAAACACTTTTTTGGGTAGATGTGACTAGGATTAACCAAATTAAGAATATATGGGGAGGTGACGTTACATGTGCGGTATAGGAAAACGTGGATCTAGTTATTCGTTATTCTGCCACCGGAGATAGAACCCATTTTGAATTTTAAACACAAATTGTTAGAAAAATATGGCTAATACCATCAAAATGCCGAAATGGAGGTACCGTTACAATAAAACATGGACCGATATATATCATCTTCAATACCCATCATCCTACAATGCAATACAAAATGTTGTACCAAATTTGAAGCTGTACGATATATAATGTGGACTGTATCGTGATTTCGATAGACAGACGGACATCGTTAAATCGACCCAGAATTTGATGCCTATTATAAATACATATACTTTATAGGATCTACGACGAATATTTAGTTGCAAACGGAATGACAAAGTGTATTTACTTTAATTTTAAGGTGGAGGGTATATGATATGATAATCAAAAATGTTATTACTCAAACGCCCAATTCGAAATTTGGCCTTAAAATTCTCAAGAATTACCTAACCGATCTTCAATCAAAAGTTGCAGAACTTTGACCGATTCAGAACGACTGTGAGGTTTAATTTTTAATTTTTTTCATCTTTTTTATTACATTTTCGTTTCAAATATCACAAAATTCCAATTTATTTTGCCAAAAAATCATTTTTCATTTTACGATGGCCGGTAGGGTGCCAACAACAATCCACATTAAAAGCACAACGGTAAATTGTCCTGAGTGTCTTTGCAAAATCATCATAAATCATATGGAGGTGAAGGAAATGAATTAATTCCATGCAGCCCTCCTTAGCCGCGGATATGACAATCTCGGTAAAATATTTCCCACCCTCCGGACTTGAATATTATTTTTTAACGGGACATTATCTTACAAATGTTGATCATAAAATGAAGTTTTCTTCGCTTGCATTGCCTGAGTTTTCTTAAATTGAAATGTTCCCGGCAAGCGTGTCATATACTTTTACATGCTATAAGAAAAAAACGGAAATCCCCGTCGAGGAATGCCTTTCCCCCTCCAGAGAAATGTTGATGATTCACAACCAGGTAGACATCGCCACCTTCAGCAGCTCCTTAGTCATTACAGCGAAAATAAACATTTTCGTCTGAGCACTTTGCATAGCATTAAACATTTTCATAAAATGAATATTTAAATTTAATATTTAAAATTGCTGTGCCATTAACAACTTTGATTCATAATAAATGGGAAAGAATGTAATTTCCGGCAAAACATGTTTCTGCGGAATTAATATTCATTTTGGAAAAAATGCAGCAAATATTTCGGTGGAATGATATGGAATGGTGCGAACATTTGGCGGATTGATTTAATGGAGTAGATTTCCGAAAGGCCATGTTACCCAGAAAATCATTGACACTAGCCTCCGGGTGAACTTGAATCTACATGAGTGAGAGCCACCAAAGCAAAGGTTGTTAACTCCGAGAGATGAGAGAAGTCATTGAATTCTTTATTCATCCAAGTTCTAACTTCGGTTTCATTTTAATTGAAACTACAAAAACTCTCATTTTTCAAATTGATGGCACTTCCCTATGCAAAAAATAACCAAGCAGCAAGCATTCTAAGCTGCAATTTCCGGAAATAACTAAGTTTACGACATGCTTCTTATGTGTGCCCGAGAAAAGAAACCGTAAAAACAAACATTGGCAAAAAAGCCCGACCACAACTACATGCACAATAAATAGTCGTGTAATAAGAATGAGTGCCACTTGTCATTCTGTCCTCTTTGTCAACTGCCACAAATGCTTTGTGTGGCAGCAACGTTTGATGTACACATTTAAGTATGTGTGTGTGAGTGTGTGTGTGCGATGTATGTTGTTTGCATGATGCATATCCCTAGTACATAGTGGGGATTTCCCTCGGTGTCTGTCCGTCCGTCTGTCTGGTTTATTGTTGTCGTTGACAATGTGAATTCTTGAATGTGACAGCAGTTGTCGTTTTGGCTGCCGAAATTCATTTTGATGTGGCTTTATGAAAAATACAGACAGACATATTGGAATCAATTTTCCAAACATTTTTGCAGAGTTTATATTCTGGCGCAGCGATATTTGGGAACACAATCAACTGGAATTTAATGAAATTTGTATCGAATTGAGATCATTTTTTTTTATTTTTTTGTGACACACAGCATGCAAACTGTTTATTGAATTGCATGACAAAGTTGGCCAACGGCAAATTCAATATGTTAAGAATTATAAGTTTGAATTTTTGGGTTACGAAAGTTATGTCTACATAATTCAATGCAAATTGAGAATGTTTCACAATTGTTTTTCTTCTCTCCTATTTCTCAATAAATATAAATTATGGCTCAGACCGGCATCAATTTTTAATGAAAAGAGATTATTTATTGATGAGTAAGATTGGAAAGTGCTTCTCCTTATAAATTAAATGCTAAAATCATCGCATTAAACGTATAAGGACGAAAATGAAATATTTAATAACATTGACAGATCCAACATAATTATACCCTCAGCTATATTGCAGTAAATATCACTTGATACGGCCAAAACGTGCCTCATTCAAATAACGGTTTTAGACCCTAGGTGTCTTTGGACCAAATTCGTTTCAGGACATTTGGACTCAATGTAGCGATCTCCATCTGTGTATATATTTGGCTGGCAGTATCCGATTATTTCCAAACTTGGTACACCTTAATATTATTGCCAAACTTAAATCGGATTGATCAGGTGCGAAATTTGACAATATCCGACCTCTCCATCAAATTATAACTCTTATAAAATGTGAGTTAAGTCCGGTTTTTAGTAATTCAAGGTCTGGTGTGAAGATAGAATATGTCGGTTCCCAACTTCTGGTACCTCCCCCACAAATGCTCAACATTTAGAATATCCATGAAACTCATAAAGATCGAAATTAACATTCGATTCAATTCAGACTTGGTACATCTCAATATTTCCATCAACATAAGATCTTTTATAAAGTTAGTAGAGATATGGCCACTCCTTCTGGTACCTCCCCCAAAAAGGGTCAAAGTTTTGAATAACCAAAACGATTATAAAATACGAGAGTCAACAGTTTGAATAATCATAGCAGAGGTCAAAATATATTAAATAATCGGACATTGGCTGAGGGTATACATCTTTCGGCAAAACCGACCGATACGTTTTAACTTGTTTTTATAGAAAGATAATGCCAAAAATAACCATTAGGATGTCCTCAATATAATCTTACTGTTATATTAAAATAATTTACTCCTCGAGATTGCAGAATGTCAATGTAAACTCATTTTGAAACAAAAACTTAAATGGCGCTGTAAGAAAACGGAACTTCTATAGACAATTTTCAGGCGTAGTTGGTGATACCTATTGCAAAAATATAAACATCAACTTTGAAACAATTCCGTAGATAAATGTGTCTACCGTCATCAATATACACAATGTCGGACCTATGTATATCAACAGTTTTTCGCAAGGATGTTTCCAACAAATTAATTTCCAATTTGCAGAGTATTCGGCTAGTACCGTTACATCGAAAAATTACACGATCATAAAATACATTTTGCGGGCATAGAATTTTATGCCGATCAAGAATACATATAAGTTGTGGGGTCTAAAAATAATAATTACGTTTCAACTGTACAACTGGTCTATCATTATCAGTCAGAATGTCAATCCACGTAAGTAGTGTGCGTATGATTTACGTGATATATGTTTGGAATACTCATACTACAGGAAGTTCTATATTCTGGTTAATAGTATGCCAATATAAAATCTGGATTTTCGTTTAAATCACTTTTTATATCCGCCATCAAAAAATGGAGGCTATATTAAATTTGTCATTCAGTTTGAAACATCTCTAAATACGAATTCGACCAGCATTAAACTCCGTGTCGATATAGTCATGTCCGTCTATCCGCATTTCTGCCTGTTCATTTGTTGAACTGAAAATAGAGCTCACTATATTAACAGGCATTGATATAAATATTTATCCCGAAAATGGAACATTGTGATTTACTCATTGTCATAGCAAATGCCAAGGGTACACGAAACTGCATTTTTATACACTCCACCAAAGTATGGAGAGTATATTAAGTTTGTCATTCCGCTTGTAACACCTCGAATATATATATTTTAGACCCCACAAAGTATATATATTCTTAATCAGCATAAAATTCTTTGTCGATTTAGCGATGTCCATCTGTCTGTACATCTGTG